AAGATTATTTAGAATGAAGAAGAAAATAAAAAGATGAGCCAAGTGATTTTCTGTGTGAATTCTGTAACATCTTCAAGGGACATGAAAATTTTTACTTAAGTCATTCAGGAAGAAGAAAACGGGTGCGATCAATGAAGAGCCAAGAGGAGGGGAAACAGAATCTTAACATTAATGGAAGTTTCATGAAATGGGACAGAGATGTGTCATATTTGTTGTTGTTAAAAATAATAATAATGCTGGCATGCCCCGGCAGGCTCGCAGAGCAGCCTCTAGTCCGACAAGGACAGCTGTGGGTCCCTGCAAGATCCCCAGGGTGGCAGGCTGGTCCTGCCATGCAGCCCGGAGAGCAGGCGGGTGGGTGCGGTGGATAAAACACTTACAGGGCATAATAAATAGATATAAGGCTAAACATAAAGGGAAACATTTACTACTTAAAGAGACAGACAGAGAGACATGGAGACAGACATAGAAGAGACACAGAGAAGACGACTCATGTGCACACTCCGAGAGAGGGGGACAGAAGGGGAAGGGGTTAAGATGGCTACGAGGGGGTCAGAAGTGGCTGGGAGTGGGCGTGGCTTGCCCCTTAAAGGGACCAGAGACCAAAAGGAATAACAATATTTACAAGTCCCCAGCCGTCATGCGATTGGATATAAACTTGTGAGGTTTCGCCATGGCGTGAGGTTCCTGTCTTGCTCTGGGGTCACCGTGGGAGGTGGGTTCTTTTCCCTTTCCCAGAGATCTGGAGAAATCACATCTGTTCTGGTTTGTGGAGACTACATTGGAAGGTAAGTTCTTTCTAAAACAAGTTTCTCATCTGGTTTGATCCACAGACCATGACAAGATACAAGCATTACCAAACTTGGCAGAATCAGGAGCAGGAATGCCCACCTGGGTTTTCGAAAATTGCTTGAAAATGGAATCTATACTGATTAGCAAGGGGCTTGCCTTGCAACCTCACAAGCTCAGTGTTGTGGGCCCACATCTCAGGGGCCCCATCCAGCTCCAGACCTGCTCAGGGTCTGTGTCATGGTGACCTGCCGGTCACAGTGAGCAAGTAGGGGCTGCCTCCTTCCAGTGCCAGAAGTTCCTTGACTTGCTCTTTGTCCTTCGCCAGTCTCAAAACCTCCCTTCCGTTCAATCTTCTCCTGAGTGGGGGAGGGAGGAGGGGGCGGCAGAGGAAAAGGTTTAAAAGCGAAGAAAACAAGAAGGAGGAGGAAGTGACCAGCGCGCAGTGAACCCTCAAGTGTGAAAGGTTAATCCGGAAAGCACTTAGTAATCACCACCACGAGGTCAGACTGGGTGGCATCTCCTCTTGCGCACAGGCTGCCCCCTCCGCCTCCTGCAGAGGCTCGCTTCCTGAGCCCAGGTGACCTTCTGAAATCCGCACCTCTGCCTCCGTGCCTGGCATCAGGCCCTTCCTGCGCCACCGCCTCCACCAGCCGCCAGATGTTCTGAGTTACCCCCAGCCTGTCTGTGCACCCTAGAGACAGATGCTTGGGTCTTAGGGCCCTGTCTGTGTGTACTGCAGAGTGTGAGAAACACACACACACACACACACACACACACACACACACACACACAGCCAATTTCCGGTGTATTCTAATGTGAACCCAGAGGCCGGACAGTGCCTGGAACTCAGCGGCACACAATGTTCAGAACAGTGCTCATGGGTCTGTCATGCCCAAGGGAACAGTGTGGAAAGTCATTTACGTCTTAAGACGTTTGACTGATGGCCAAATAACATGTTACTGTTGTTAGGTCCAAATGAAACACCAGTTCCCCAAACTCCAAAAGGCAGTTCAGATATCCAGAAATGAGCTCACCCTAGACCATAGGAAGATTTCTGGGGGTTAGATGAAAGCCAGTATCCCTCAGGAACTTGTGAAGCCTAAGCCGTTCCTCCCACCAAAAGGAGCCATGTCCCTTATCGATGACAAAGGGGACTAATGGCTACCTGTGGTATGATTAGCTTGCCAAAGGGCATGCTGGCCTTCAGGCTCCCTCAGTGTCACAAGTGCCTGCTATACATTTCATATACATTTCAGAGTCCATGCTAGCTAGGCTCCTCCCTTATCACCTCCTCCTCTACCCTAAACTGCCCCCATTTTCTTATGACCCCCCTACTTTTAGATACATATTTTCTCTTTGTCTTTCTCTCGCTCTTGTTCTGCTTCTCTCATGGCCAGATCCAGTCTGCTGGCCATGGTCAGTTGACACCTTTCTCTCTCTGCTCTGACCTCTTCCAGATGCCTCTGGCTGATCTAGCTCTCATATCTACAATTAAAACCTTCCCTTTAACCACACCATGGAATGAACACACTCAGACTCCAAATTCTCAGCACGAAGGAGATTTTATTAACCTTGAGGGAGGGGGACTGCCTCTGGGTCAAGGAACTGCATCTGGGTCAGGGGGGCTGTCTCTGGATCAGGAGACTGTCTCTGGACCAGTGGGCTCTTTCTGGGTCAGGGGTCTGCTTCTGAACCAGGGAGCTCTTTCTGGGTCAGGGGGCTGTCTCTGGATCAGGTGGCTGCCTCTGGGCCAGGGTGGGGGGTGCTGGCTCTGGAACAGAGGGCTGCTTCTGGATCAGGCAAAGACAGCAGCAGGTGCCACTGATGAAGTGCTTTTTAAGGAGAAAGAGAGAAGTCTGTGCTAGGGTGAGTCAGCAAGTCCTGATTGGACCTGTTAGCCAGTGTCTCCAAATAATGAATTTTGATTGCTGTATTGTTTGGTGTTTTGGTAGCTGGACAAGTTTTAGTTAGACATAAGGTAATGGCCAAAGAAACCAGACCTTGGTGGCTAGCTTTAAGAATGTAATCTAACAGTTTAGCAAGGCAGAGGCAAGGGGGCCTTGACGCCCCATCTCTCATCAAACTCCTAAAAGCACTCTGTACCCAGAAACAGACTTTGTCTTTTATATACATTTTCTGTGAAGGAACTGACCCTTCCTTCCCATGGTGCTTTCTGTATTTTGCCATATTTCACTGAAATTCTTAGGAAGACACCACTAGTATGTTTATAATGCCGTAGCTTGCGTGACTCAGGTTTGGAAGCTGTAACTTCAACGGCTCCTGTTCTCCAGGGTCGTGTAGGCTGAGTGATGCTTGAATGCCTTCTCCAGAAACGATTGCGAAAGAAGTTGCTCCTCACTCTGTGTGCTTGGACCAGAGTGTCCTTCTACCTGACCGATGAGTTAAGAGCCGTTAGTGAGGGGTTTGCCAATGCCTGTTGACTAAGACGGTGCTCTAAGTTCTTTGCCAGATGCTAGTAGGGCAACCTCATGCTTCAGCGTTAATAATCTACAAGCAGGATGGATGATTCCCTTCTTTTTAACCTAATCATGGAAACAGCTCTCATCTCTGCCTTATTCTGCTCTCTAGAATCAAATCACTAGGTCCAAGCTCACACTCAAATGCAAGGGATTACTTAGATAGCAGACAGGAGTCATCAGTGACAATCATAGCAACCTGAACACTGGCTGCAGAAAGAGGACGTCAAAGGCTAGACCACAAAGACAATTCCAGGCATAGAAGATGGATGTAGTTCAAGGTTAGAACTGAAGCTGACATATGTCAGGGTCAGCGGGTAGAAGGACGAAGCGCCTGCCATTGTGTTTGATCTGCAGCGTCTTCCTGTCTCCCCTAGCCCTAACACAAAGGCGGAACTAAGGAAATGGTAGGTACGAGGGGAAAGGATATTAGTAGAAACACCACAACGCTGCATAGGTAAACACTGTCCCATTGGAAAAGCAGACGACAACGGAGTAGTGTAGAAAGCATCCAGGCTAAAGGGACTCGGAAGCCCTGGTGGGAAGAAGTCTTTCGGCCTGGTTGTGCCAAGGTATCAACAAAGGTATCAAAGGTAGGAAGTAAGGCATGAAGCAGATCTAGAATAAGGGGTTTGCAACCAGTCTGACAAGAGCAACAAAGCAAACTTCAGGCAGAGTACATACAGTAGCTCCGAGAATACTACGAAGGCAATGTTACACAGAGCCAAGGCATAGGGGAAAGGGTGAGGAACATTGCTTGGCAACATCTGCAAAGATAACTTTTACTGACATATCTTAGGGGGAAGGCTTCAGATTTTTCAGGGCCTTTAATCTGCCAGTGTGCCATGGGAAGGTGTGTGGGGGATAGAGGGTGAGGAATGTAGTAGGAGACTTTCCTGCCATGGTCTTTCTTGGTAGATGCAATGGCTACAACGTGCTGCAACCTTGTAGGGAATCCTCTTAGATCTAAGGCCTGCAGATCTTTGTTGAGAGCGGGAGGAGACTTGGGTGAAACATTTATCATGAACCAGGAATGCTGGCCTGCACTCAAGTCATATAGAATAAATACTAAGTACCTGTCAGTCAGTGATGATGATGGGGTGGTAACATCTGCACCCCAACAATGAGAAGGATTCCAAAGTAGGATTTAAACAGCAATTATCACATCATCCTCTCTTACAGCCATCCCCACGTGCCCCCAAATAGTCCCTTCTCCAGAATGTTCCTTTCCTAGAATTCTCTCCTGTCAACAGAAGGATCACTCCCTGGCTTGCTCCTGGGGCATTTCCCAATATCTGAGCCCTGGGGCAATGAAGGGCAGAGTCACTGAGGTAGCAAGACAAAGACACCCAGCGTCCCAGAGAAATGTCTTCATAGTACAGAAAGGGAAAATGAAATCAGGAAAGACTTCCTTGCCAGACAACAAAAGCAATAGCTTCCAGAGAGATGTTAACTTCTGTAGTTTTTGGCAGTGAATCCCCTACAGTGAGGGTTGAGAGACGAGTGCCTTCGTAATCCAAAGGTTCAGGGCCTCTCCTCGAGCACCTGTGAGCAACTGAGCTCCTACCCACGCACCAGGAGCAAACTGGCTACGTGCAACCTCCCCTTCCTGGAGGACACAGTGTGATGTCTCCAGGCTCCCCCGGGAGGATATTACAGTAACTTTCAGTGGTTAATGAATAGCTTCCTGGTGCCCGCTTCACTTAATTGTTCAAAGGCCATTTATTCCTGTGTATAAGACTGCGACCGAGCTAATGAGTGCACTTCCCTGAGAAAGCCTGGAAGCAGAGGAGTGGCGGGGTCAGCTGGGCTCTGGAGAAGCAGGGATGCAGAACAGGGCTAGTCTAATCCTCTGTGCCCTCTCCCTCCTCGCAGGCTTTCTGATGATCTGCTTGGGGGGCTACTTCATCTCCAACTCCGTGGTCCACTCTCAGAGGAATCTGGTCATGGCCTACGTGCTCCTGCCTATGGGGTTTGTGATCCTCCTGAGTGGAATTTTTTGGGCCACTTACCGCCAAGCAAATGAAAACAAAGAGATGTTCAGTTATGTGCTGAGACAGCACCTTGCTTCCCAGGACCCGCCCCTGGCCACAATCGACAGGTACGTGCTGAGCGCCGGAGGACATGAGAAGGGCTGAGGTGAGCTCCAATGTGGGAGGGAAGTGGAGTGACGTTTAATTGCACAGTGGAGCCACTGACTATAGGGCCATTTGCTCTGGGGTCACAGTGTAGAGGAATAAGGCTGCTATTGGGGAGACCAATGAGGCAAGGGGGAGTTTTCTTAAGGTAAGATCCTCACACTCCTAATAAAACCTCACATACAGCATATGAAGGGCCACAGCTCCTAGGTTCTTCTTACATTTGGGGGTGACTCTCGTGAAAGGTAGATGATGACTAGGTGGTCCTTATAACCTGAGTTATAATGAAAGTCCCAGACCAAATTCCTCCCACGATAAGCGAGCGAGCAGACATCAAGTCAGTCATCAACTCCTGTGACTAAGGGAAGTTCTAGGTAACTGTCCTTTTCAGTGGTCTGCTCTCATCTTGCGTGAAGGATGCATTCCAAGCAAGATGATAACATGCCCATCAAAGATGGAAAAGCAAATGACAGCATGAACACATATGCATTGCGATATTAATTGATCTTAAGAGGGAACAAAATAATTGAGACATGCTATAGGTGACCACACACTGAAAATATTATGCCAAGTGACCCCCATTTGTCAGAAAGGACAACGGCTGCACCATTCCACTTGCACCAAGAAGCAACCACAGAGAGGAAATAGGACAGTGGTCCCTAGGCCTGAAGGGCACATGTCAGGGGAAGTGAACAGTTGCTATTTGATGACTCTGGGGTTGTAGTCTGGAGAGATACAAAAGTTCAAGAGATGCTTTGCAGCAATATAAGATCACTAAATACCACTAACACCCTTACAAGTAACACATGCTACGTTATTTGTATTTTACCAAAACAGAAAAGTCAAGGATTTGGGTAACCTTGTGGTCAGTTAATTTAGCATCAATCCCCTGATTCTTGTCCAAACACAAGAACACAAGGTACAGGAAGTAAGAATCCACACGTCCTTTTGTGCTCTTCATGCATGAGTAGGAAGTCCATAAAACATCTTCGTTATCCCATGCACACTGAATAAGAGTCCTCTCGCCCATGGCTGTGCATTGTTGATATCCATCACACCACTCACACATGTTTCCAAGGTTAATTAGACCAACCAGGAAGAAGTTCTTTGGGTTTAATGAAAAATTAAGATAACAGGAGCTATTTAGTAGATGTTTCTGGAGTGATCGAGGGTGTGTGTGCTGTTTTATTTTGATGTGTGTGTGTGTGTGTGTGTGTGTGTGTGTGTGTGTGTGTATCTACCTCTACAGTATGGATTTCTGCTAACAGTAGCTGAGTGCCTTCAGGATGCACCTGAAATTTACCAACACAGTCATATGTATTCTCTTGTCTGGAGTATTCAAAAGTAAATCATGGCTGTCTTGACACCCCTATCTCACTGCTCCTTCCTGCTGCAACCTGAGAAGCTCACCCCACAGAGTTAAATGGAAAAAAAAATCCCTATCTCAAAACTCTGCACTCCAAATAGCAGAGATATCCAAGCAAATGTCCCTCTGGTGGTGGAATTTACGGTAGCTGTCCTCCTGGAGTCTCTCACGTGGTTCCAGGGAAGGATTCACCTTTCTGTCCCCATGACTCAGCCTCAGCTATTCCCAGGGAAGGTCGAGACTTACGTGGTACAGTAGACAGCTCCTTCAGCGATTTGGCCTTAGGCCTTGTGACATTTGGAAAGGAGCAGTGGCTCCAAATGGCAGACGTGGTAGACCTCGTTCTGTTTTGGTTACTCACCATAAACACTCCGCTGGGCACCGGGTAGATTGCCTCTATAAATACACAACTCAGGCGTGCTTGCCCTGGCTCTCTTCCGCTCCTCCCACCCTCACCTTCATTCATGGCAGAGGAGCCAGGAGGATTTAGTAATTGCTTAGATGGGCAAGATGATGAACAGGCCCATCAACTGGGGTGAATGACCTTAGCCACGGGCAGGCCAGCCTAGCAATGCTGCAGCTGAGCGCCTCCCAAATCTCTAAGCTGAAGCCTCTTGAGGCCTGAGCAGGTTTCCTGGGTTTCCTCTGAAACCAGCTGCCCAGGGCTTGACCATGAGTCAGGAGAGACGGGTGGCATCTCTCAGGTCAGGGACCTGCATGGAATTGTTTTCCCTTCTTATTTTGTTGCTTGTGAGAGTCAGAGGCCTTGAGAACAGGGAGTGGAGGACAAGGTGTGGTGAGGATTGAGTATTGGCTAAAGAGAGGTTCATGGTCAAAGTCTCCACGTCACCTCAGGACGCGCACTGATAAGGATAGCTCACTGAATGACTGCTTCCTGGACTCTTTCAGCAAACAAGGAGGAAGAGTTTGGCATACCTGTCAGGAACAGGCGGACTGCTGACTGGAAGGGAGTCGATTCCACAGGAAGGGTGTGCAGTTTTTAGAAACTGGCAGTGTCAGAAAAGTACATCTGTTTCAAAGTCAGTGTTTCCTAGCAGTTTAGCTTCACACGATGTGAGCTGAGAGAGGCAGACATATGCTTCTTCACCACCGAGACCTAAATAACACATGCATCTCTGTGGCATTTCATCTCACAGGCCCGATTTTTATCCCCCGACTTATGAAGAAAGCCTGGATGCTGAGAAACAGGCCTGCCCTGCAGGCAGAGGCCTCCTGGGATTTCCTCCTCCTCTGTATTCAGCAACAAACCTGGATCTTGAAGATGAAGATGACCCGCGACCTGAGGCCCCACCACCCTACCAGGAGAGCATGGCAGATGCAGTAGTGCCAGCAAAGACACAGGATGCCGAGGGACCAAGAACAGTGCCAAGGGCAGGGCATGCTCTCCAGCCCTCAGAACTCACCAGCTGCTGAGGGGACAGGCTGGCCAGGGACTGGGAAGCAGCTCTGCCAGTCTGCATTAGAGCAAGGCCACCATGGGTTCAAGGGACTCACATTCAGCCTTGCCAGGGCAGCGTGGGGTTCTTGAAGGACACAGCCACCAGCAGGAAGTTGGTGTAGAGAATTCCCACTAAGCCCAACCCGGGTGAACCTTAGCCTGAAGAGAAGGCAGAATGCCAGGCTCCCTTCTAACCCCGTGATCTCAACTCAAGCCTGGAGGGGCCCTTGGGTGGGGCTGCAACAGCCTGTCATGTACTGTGTCAAAAGAGTCTCAAAGGGAAGATGCCTGGGAGGCTGCGTTGGAGTCACCCACTGACTGTGCTACCTGAGGGACACCATAGCTCTCACATATCATGGGAGGGGCCCTAGGAACCGAGGAACGTCATTTTGTATAGTTTTATTTTAATTATCTATGTTTTCTTTCTGTGTGAAAGGGAAGAGACTACAATATTTGCTTTCAAATGGTTCAAACACAAAGTGTGGAGTTATCTCTTAAAGAGGTTCTCATATAGGCACATAGGGGTTCTTACAGATTCAAGCTGACTAGATAGAATACGAATTCATCATCCAGGGAGTCAAGGACGACTGATGCTAATACACAACTTATCACAAAGCTCGAGAAGTTTAAAAAATGTTTATAGGCAGTTTTCCAAGATGCCCCCCCTTTCAAATTCAGAATGTCAGAGATTAAAAACTGTAAGGCCATGTTTCCATTACCAAGGATGCTTTCTGTGTCTCCAGATAGAGAACTAGACTTCTAGACTTAAAAAATCCAATGGTCCCTCCTTGACTTTAATTTCCATGGGGGAGTTTTTAAAATCAGAGAACAGGCTGGGTGGGGGGTGGAAAATGACAGGACACACAGGCTGGGGCTTTTACACGTGAATGAGGATATCCATCTCCCGGCCTCATGTTTTTTCTCTACCGAGTAAGGCATCTGGGTCCAGGCTGATATCTAACAGTTATAACACGCCTTCCAAGAGGTGAGTAGACTAGCCTTTCCATGCATGTTATTAGCCCCCACCCCATCTTTAAGAGGTGGATGCTACAACCATCCCCGTTTTAGGGATGTGTCAACCGAGGCTCTGAGCATTCAGGAAATGGTCTCAAGTGGCCTCAAGAAAGGTGAATAGCCTAAGGTACATGAGAGGTGTTATTACCTCAGAATTTTGAGCAGGTGGGCTATTTTTTTTCTCTGTCCAGGACACAGCTTAGATTTCTTGCTCCATGTCAAAAGTGAGCCCTAAGAGAAAGCAGTGTTCCAGGTCACTGCTGTACTATCCACCCTTGAAGAAGCAGCTGAGGTAGCTTTAGGATTATTTGACTTCTTGGTTAAAATATGCCGAACTGTTTCCGCCTGTGAAATGGGCCCTCCGAGCGCAGTTTTCCTGAAACCTCCAGAGGACAGCCACCATGATGGGCCCAGGAGAAGAGCCTTTGGAAACTCACAGGGAACGATGACATCTTTCAAGAAGAGTGTCATCAAGGTGGGACTGGGTGTCCATGGTTTCCACTCCTCCACTGATGCAGAGATGACACATAAGAAGCCAAAAGAGCAAAGCCCTAGTCCACGAAGCACACCTTTGTGAGTCTCCACGTTGAGTTCTTGACAATGAGGGAACCACTAGCTAGGGAGGCCATGGATGACTGCTGAGCAGGAAGGTGACCATTTATTAACAACACAATTTGTCATCCTCTTCTTGTCATCTCTTTCCATCCCCCTACCAAGCAGTTTTCCCTACTGGCCGGAATGACAAACATTATTGGACTTCTACCCAGATTTGCACACAGAATAGATAGTTTTTCTACCACCAGGGGTCAGAGGAATCCAGTCTTCAATCTGGTTTGCAAACACTGTTAGTCTCCGTAAGGCAATAAATTTTGTATTCAAAGTCTTTTTGTCATTTATTTTGTGGGTGTGTGTTGTACATGCACGTGTATGTGCCCAAGAGCGTGTGTGTGAACATGCATGGGGTAGTCGGGGCTGTTGTTTCAGACAGGCTGGCTGGCACGTGAATTTCCAGGGATCTTTCTGGGGTTCCTGGCACAAGTGAGGATTTAAGGTGCTCCTCACACTTTCTCAGCAAACAGGCTAACCCCTAAGCCACCTTTCCATTACCTCTGACTTTCTTCCTCCTTCCTTCCTTCCTTTCTTCCTTCCTTCCCTTTTTGTATCAGAAAAAGAAATCAGTAGAGGACTCCTTCTTTCCTTCCTTCCTACCTTCCTTCCTTCCTTCCTTCCTTCCTTCCTTCCTTCCTTCCTTCCT